TGTGCAACTTTAAACAAATATAGAAGATCTGATTGTCCTAGACCATTATTATTATACACATTTGTATTATTATATGTTTTGTTACTCATCATATATATATGATTCATTATATGTCTTGTTTATGTAGTTTATAGAATATTGTCACTGTTTCTGCATGGAACGTATTGTTCAATAAAATATCTTATATCTTATCTACTGTGATCATGAGACAAGGATATGGGTTTTTTGTCCCTGATATTGTAATCAGGAATACAATTATATGATTCCCTGATATATCGTGATCACGAGAAAGAGAGTATAGGTATATGTTTCTGATATGCTGATCAGAGAGAGAGGGATACAGGCATATTTTCCAGATAGGGTGATCACGAGAGACAGGGATAGGGTTTTATTGCCCAGAAAATGTGTTCAACAGATGGCTTGGATCATCCAAGATCTTCAAGAGGATCATGTTTCAGAGAATGTTTCGGACTGAAATGTGAGATTTTCTCAAACTGACGACTGTTTAGGAAGTCCATGTTGTATTTTTAATGTTAATGACTTGTAGAGAGAATGGATGAAGGCTTGTGGAGGTTACTGCATGGCTTTGTTTGCAGCCATCTGTGAAATAAACTGTATTTGGATGTCTATCAGACCTTGACATATGTTTGCAGTTCCAGCGGATGCCAACAGTCTCCTTGGCTACATCACTGCTTCATGCAGGGGCATTACAAGGGTGTCACGGGTGTTACAGGGGCGTTACAAGGGTGTTACAGGGGCATTACAAGGGTGTTACAGGGGCATTACAAGGGTGTTACAGGGGTATTACAAGGGTGTTACAGGGGCATTACAAGTGTGTCACAGGGGCATTACAAGGGTGTCACAGGGGCATTACAAGGGTGTTACAGGGCATTACAAGGGCATTACAGGGGTGTACAGGGGCATTACAAGTGTGTTACAGGGGCATTACAAGGGTGTTACAGGGGCATTACAAGGGTGTTACAGGGGCATTACAAGGGTGTCACAGGGGCATTACAAGGGTGTCACAGGGGCATTACAAGTGTGTTACAGGGGCATTACAAGTGTGTTACAGGGGCATTACAAGGGTGTTACAGGGGCATTACAAAGGGTGTCACAGGGCATTACAAAGGGTGTTACAGGGGCATTACAAAGGGTGTCACAGGGGCATTACAAGGGTGTCACAGGGGGCATTACAAAGGGGTGTTACAGGGGCATTACAAGGGTGTTACAGGGGCATTACAAGGGTGTTACAGGGGCATTACAAGGGTGTTACAGGGGCATTACAAGGGTGTCACAGGGGCATTACAAGGGTGTTACAGGGGCATTACAAGGGTGTTACAGGGGCATTACAAGGGTGTCACAGGGGCATTACAAGGGTGTCACAGGGGCATTACAAGGGTGTCACAGGGGCATTACAAGGGTGTCACAGGGGCATTACAAAAGGGTGTTACAGGGGCATTACAAGGGTGTTACAGGGGGCATTACAAAGGGTGTCACAGGGGCATTACAAGGGTGTTCACAGGGGCATTACAAAGGGTGTCACAGGGGCATTACAAGGGTGTCACAGGGGCATTACAAAGGGTGTCACAGGGGCATTACAAGGGTGTTACAGGGGCATTACAAAGGGTGTCACAGGGGCATTACAAAGGGTGTACAAGGGTGTTACAGGGCATTACAAGGTGTTCACAGGGCATTACAAGGGTGTTACAGGGGCATTACAAGGGTGTTACAGGGGCATTACAAAGGGGTGTTACACAGGGGCATTACAAGGGTGTTACAGGGGCATTACAAGAGTGTCACAGGGCATCACAAGGGTGTTACAGGGGTATTACAAGTATACAGGGCATTACAAGGGTGTTACAGGGCATTACAAGGGTGTTATAGGGTGTGGCTTGTGCATTACTATAAGGGGTTACAGTGGCATTAGGGTGTTACAGGGCATTACAAGGGGTGTTACAGTGGCATACTAACAGTGGCATTACAGGGTGTTACAGTTGATACAGGGTGTTAGTGGTATTACAGTGGCTATATAGAAGGTGTTGTTACAGGGGGTTACAGTGGCTATACAATAACAGTGGCTATACAGGGTGTTACATGGCTATATGGGAGGGTGTACAGTGGCTATACAGGGTGTTACAGTGGCTATACAGGGGTGGTTATAATACAGTGGCTATACAGGGTGTGTTACAGTGGCTATACAGGGTGTTACAGTGGCTATACAGGGGTAACAGTGGCTATACAGGGGTTATACGAGGTGTTACAGTGGCTATACAGGGGTGTTACATGGCTATACAGGGTATAACAGTGGCTATACAGGGTGTTACATTGGTGGCTATACAAGGGATCACAGTGGCTATATAGGGTGGTGGCTATACAGGGTATCACAGTGGCTATATACAGGGGTATAAGTGGCTATACAGGGTATTAAAGTGGCTATACAGTTATGGGGTATAACAGTGGCTATATGGGGTGTTACAGTGGCTATACAGGGTATAACTGGCTATATGGGGTGTTACAGTGGCTATACAGGGTATAACTGGCTATATAGGGTGTTACAATGGCTATACAGGGGTATAACAGTGGCTATACAGCTATACAGGGTATCACAGTGGCTATACAGGGGTATAACAGTGGCTATACAGGGTGTCACAGTGGCTATACAGGGGTATAACAGTGGCTATACAGGGTGTTACAGAGGGGTGTTACAGCTATACAGGGTGTCACAGTGGCTATACAGGGTATACAGTGGCTATACAGGGTGTTACAGTGGCTATACAGGGTATAACAGTGGCTATACAGGGGTATAACAGTGGCTATACAGGGGGTATAACAGTGGCTATACAGGGTGTTACAGTGGCTATACAGTGGTATAACTGGCACAGGGTGTGGCTATACAGCTATACAGGGTGTCACAGTGGCTATACAGGGGTGTCACAGTGGCTATACAGGGTATAACTGGCTATATAGGGTGTTACAATGGCTATACAGGGGTATAACAGTGGCTATACAGCGATATATATATGTTCATACAAATGCTCCTCACGCATGATGTGTAATTTCATTGTGATTACTGTTGTATTCCGTTGCAATACCACATTATTATGTTAGTACACCTCAACAGGAGCTGACAGCCTCCGTGGTGTAGTGGTTAGAGCGTCCACCCGGAGAGTGAAAGGTCGAGGGTTCGATCCCCTACCGCGTCATACCAAAAGACGTTAAGATATGGTACTTGTTGGTCCCTGTCTGGCGCTCGGCATTAATGGGTACAACAAGGACTGGTCGGCTCGGAGTCAGTATAATGTGTCTGAGTGGGGTATTCATGCTTCACTGTGGCATGGTCTCTCAGTGGGCTAGCACTATAAAACCAGCTTAAGTCTGGGCTAGTACAAGCAGCTGCACATACACATACACACGCATGCATGTCGTCACATGAGCGAAATATTCTCAAGCACGACGCAAAACCCAATTTCACCTCACCCCAACAGGAGCTACATTCAGTTCATCAGTACTCCTGCTGTTTGTAACTTGTATATGAATTGGCTCATCTGTTGGTGTGTGAGTATGCTTGTTTGTTGGTAATCATGGAATATATTGTAAACATCTGACTGAATGTTGTTAGCTGGGCTACTGCTACTTGGGATATACTAGAATGAAGCAGACAGAAATTATTTATTTGATTGAGCTGTGTTTTTGCTGAACTGCCACAAGTGATATGACTTTGAAAAATGAAACTGTCTGTCAGTTCACTGTAACTGGTGTATATTTAGTGTTTCTTGTCATATTTTGAAGTTAATATCTTCTAGTTTCAACAGGTTATTGTGGAAAAAGCCAGTAACAGGTGACAGAGTGTGTTCTGTTTACTTCCAGATTGATTGAAAGATCATTCAGCTGTCAGCATCCACGTTTCGTGTGCTAGATAATGTCTGCATGATATTTGACTAAAGGAGAATAGAAAACACTGTCAGAAGGGAGATAACTATGGATCAAGTGATAAATTGAAACTTTGAACTGTTTTTGGGTGCTAATTGTGTGTATTTTTATGTTACGATTTTCGGGTCCTTGAGGCCAGGCAGACAGGCAGGTGATAAAGGAAGTGTTATATATATTGTGTTTAATTCACCACGGTAACTGTTGCTGCTGGTGCGGTGCAGACAGGTGCAGAATGTGATGTTGAACGCCGCACAGGACGATGTGTTTGCACAGACGAAGAACAGCTTGTTGAATGATTACTATGCATGGAGCCTTGATAGATTCTGCTACTTCTCCTTCTGGGTTATCATCTAGTATATAGGTTAGTCTGCCAGTCATGAGAACTATGTGAATGATGAAATTTGAAATTATCAGAGAACATATTTTATCAGGCGATATTGGACATGTTGATGTTTGGGTCATAATTTTGGATTTTACTTTGCAATGGCTATAATGGGGATTCCAAGTCTGTGGGCTGCAGAGCGTCACAGGTGAGTTGTGCCATTTCAGGTAGTTCATAGGTGAGCGTGATAGGGACTGGATTGGGACTGACAGGCCACAGTTGTGGACAAGATGGGTCATGTGATTGTCACCAGAGATATGGGTTGTGTGAGTGAGTGAGTAAGGTTTTTTCTCTGATTTTATTAACTTTTCAGTAATATCACAAGAGTAGTCACCAGATGTGGGCTTCACATATTGAATCCATGTGGGACTTGAACCGGGGATTAGTGAACACTTTACCCACTAAACTACCCCACCACCCCTACCACACAGAAGGATTGTGACAGCAGCACCTAACCGTCCAGTAAATGCTGACTTTCTTAAGTAGTAATTAAACTAAACCTCATACTTTGTTTCACCAGGTTTAAGGGAAAGAAAACAAAATAGAAATGAGCCTTAATTTATTTTGAAATTTATTGAGAACCACAAGATTATTTGGGAAGTCTGATTGCGGAAGTTATCACTATTACTGGACAGACTGTTTTCATATCAACGTGATGTTGCTGACATTGGCATGTACAGCTCACCCAAAATAGACACTGGTGTGTGGAACCACTGTTGTAACACTTTCATTTCTTTCTTTTGAATCGGCTCCTTATAGAGGATAAGTAACATTTAGTTTCCGAAACTCTGCAACACTTGATTAAAAACAGTGCAAGTTCCGAGTCGATAGTATTCCCGCTGAGTTGGAGTAGATCATGAATCCCACTTCCTTCATATCTAGTGACATATCAGGAGCAAGATTAGAATAAACTCTCTATTATCCCGGATCTGATCCGATCTGATCTGCTCAAGCTGAAGTGGGAGATAGCTCACAGCATGCAGACAAGCCACATGAAATCTAAACACACAGTTGAAATTACATCTGCATTTGCCATTTCTTCAGGAATCCGCCTGTATAGCCACCAAGAAGGGTCTATATTTAGAGACAGTGGTTATAGTGAGGCTGGCTCCAGCTGTAGAACTGTAGGCAGTAGTACAGAGACATCTACAGGGACACACTTTACCCAGAATCGTGTTTTGACACTCCAACACTGTGATGTGAACATGTGCAGTGTCGAAGATGTGTTGTGACTGCTGTTTCCAGGATGGCTCCACAACAGCACTGACAACAGCGCCGACAACACCCCCAACCTCCGTCTGACCAGGCTCACCTGTGAAGCTCTGATTGTCAGAGAAGGTGGAACAAGATTTGCCGTTTTTTGAGCTTGTTAATCAAGGCGCCGATACTAAAAGGAGGATCAAAGCAGCATGGTGATTACCGGGCGGCCTCGGGCTCACTCCGCTTCCTCTATAAAGTTCAATTTAGTTTCTCCTCACAGTAAACTCGACCGTGGTACGGCACACAGCACACCGGAGCTCAGATCTATGCTCATTGAACTGGAGACTACAGTCCCACAGAACCTTGTCCCTCCCAACTTCTCCAACTGTCACCGGCCCCGCCCGGCCAGGAGGAAGAAGCGGAGACAAAGGGACGTTGAAACGGGGCGGTGCTGTTGCTGTGGGTGTTGTCACTGTTGTCGATGTTGTCGTATTCACATTTTGTTGGTCATTCTTCAGGTGTTGATTGGCTCTGGGATAACAGCCTTATCATTCTACCTGGAGTTTTATCTACCTGTAATAAGAGCTAGAGAGAGGCCATATTGGGCAGGCATTCCGGTAAGTCAAATTTCAATTCATGTTTAAATTTTGCCTTCTTTGTAATACATGTATTTGGTTGTTTTTTTTGTCATTGTCACAATTTTGTCATAATTTTTTTCCAGATGCTAAATATATGGTCTAGTGACTGCTCTGTGATCACTCAAGATATATATGCAATATGTGGAGCTGGCTATCTTTTTCAGATATATTAGACTGGATTATTCATTGTCAAACAAATTCATTTATTCAATCCCCCAAGATTAGATTATGTTTCATGTGTGGATAGATATTATCAGAAAAAATACATTTCTTGATGAAATGCAACAATTCGGAATATTGGAATTATGATCTCAAAGTAGTTGTGAGGAATGTATTTCATACGAATAAATAATGTTACAATATTGCACAGGGATCTGTGGCGTAGTGCCTTGGTTGACCGCAGATCCTTGGGACTTCTCCATCACCACGTTGTCACAGGAGCGGCATGTTCCAGTCATGTTTGTAGGGTGGTCAAGTTAGTGATAAATCAAAAGTCTAGTTGCTTCTGATCAAAAGGAATAGATTTGGATACTGTGCATCAAGATGGTGCCTGCATGATGAGATTTGCGGGGCAGAGTGTCAGTGGAGATTGAGTTTGGTCAGGACATGCTTTTCCATGTGGGAGGAAATATGTGCCAATAGCTGTGTAAACAAGACATGCTTTCATCTTCCTGGGGAGAGAGTCGTGCATGCTTCCTCACATGGCGCTGGTCAGGTCCACATGTGCTTCATATGAAGGGGGTCTGTGCTGGTCAGTCTACCTGTGCTTCATATGAAGGGGATCTGTGCTGGTCAGGTCTACCTGTGCTTCTTAATATGAAGGGGGTCTGTGCTGGTCAGGTCTACCTGTGCTTCAATATGAAGGGGTCTGTGCTGGTCAGGTCTACCTGTGCTTCATATGAAGGGGGTCTGTGCTGGTCAGGTCTACCTGTGCTTCAATATGAAGGGGGTCTGTGCTGGTCAGGTCTACCTGTGCTTCATATGAAGGGGTCTGTGCTGGTCAGGTCTACCTGTGCTTCATATGAAGGGGTCTGTGCTGGTCAGGTCTACCTGTGCTTCATATGAAGGGGTCTGTGCTGGTCAGGTCTACCTGTGCTTCATATGAAGGGGATCTGTGCTGGTCAGGTCTACCTGTGCTTCATATGAAGGGGGTCTGTGCTGGTCAGGTCTACCTGTGCTTCATATGAAGGGGATCTGTGCTGGTCAGGTCTACCTGTGCTTCATATTCTGTACTGAAGGTCTACCTGGCTTCATATGAAGGGGTCAGGTCTCACCTGTGCTGTCATATGCTTGGGGGTCTGTGCTGGTCAGGTCTGACCTGTGTGTAAGAAATCATATTCTTGAAGGGGGTCTGTTTTTGGTCTTAACCATGTGTTATTTTCAAAACAGGTGACTCTAAATGTGCTAAATCTTGAAAGGGTCAACCTGGTCAGAAGTCATATTACATTGTGCTAGTCACATGATGAAGGGGGTCTGTGCTGGTCAGGCGGGTACCTGGTCCAACTCATATGAACCCATCGGGTACTGGTCAGGTACCTACCTGTGCCTCATATGAAGGGGGTCTAGTGCTGGTCAGGTCTACATGTGCTTCATATGAAGGGGTCTTGTTTCAGTCTTCCTGTGTATATGGGCATAATGCGGGTGAGGTCTATTTGTGTGGTCAGGTCTACCTGTGCTGCATACACATATGAAGAAGTCTAGTGCTGGTCAGGTCTACCTATGAATATGAAGAGGTCTGTGCTGGTCAGGTCTACCTATGAATCATATGAAGGGGTTGTGGTGGTCAGGTCTACCTGTGTATCAATAGAAGGGTTGTGGTGGTCAGGTCTACCTTTCCTCATATGATATAGGGTCTGGTTGGTCAGTTCTACCTGTGCTTATGTATAGGGTTTTGTCAGGTCTACCTGTGTATGTAAACAGGTGTCTGTGGAGGTCAGGTCTACCTTTCCTTTGTATACAGGGGTAGTGTTGGTCAGGTCTACCTGTTAGGTATATACTGGTGTTGTGGTGGTCAGGTCTACCTATGAATATATAGAGGTGTTGTGGTGGTCAGGTCTACCTGTGCTATGTATACAGGTGTTGTGGTGGTCAGGTCTACCTTTCCTTCATATATAGGGTAGTACTGGTTAGTTCTGCCTGTGTATGTATACAGGTATTGTCAGGTCTACCTGTGTATGTATGAAGGTGTTGTGGTGGTCAGGTCTACATGTCCTTTGTGTATAGGGTAGTGTTGGTTAGTTCTACCTGTGTATGTATACAGGTATTGTCAGGTCTACCTGTGTATGTATACAGGTGTTGTGGTGGTCAGGTCTACCTTTTTGCTTTGTATACAGGGGTAGTGTTGGTCAGGTCTACCTGTGTCAATATACAGGTGTTGTCAGGTCTACCTGTGAGGTATATACAGGTGTATTGGCAGTCAGGTCTACCTGTGTATATATACAGGTATTGTCAGGTCTACCTGTGTATGTATGAAGGTGTCTGTGGTGGTCAGGTCTACCTTTCCTTTGTATACAGGGGTAGTGTTGGTCAGGTCTACCTGTGTATGTATACAGGTATTGTCAGGTCTACCTGTGAGGTATATACAGGTGTTGTGGCAGTCAGGTCTACCTGTGTATGTATACAGGTATTGTCAGGTCTACCTGTGTATGTATACAGGTGTTGTGGTGGTCAGGTCTACCTTTCTTTTTATATACAGAGGTAGTGTTGGTCAGGTCTACCTGTGAGGTATGTATACAGGTGTTTGTCAGGTCTACCTGTGAATATGAGGTGAATATACAGGTGTTGTGGCAGTCAGGTCTACCTTGGTGAATATGACTGTATATCATCCCCTGCTATGAGAGCCAGCAAGGTGAATATGACTGTATATTAACCCTGCTACCAGAGCCAGCTTGGTGAGTATGATTGTATATTACCCCTGCTACCAGAGCCGGCAAGGTGAATATGACTATATTACCCCTACTACGAGCCAGCCAGCTGTGTATTACCCCTGCTCCTGAGCCAGGTTAAGGTGAATATGACTGTATATTACCCCTGCTACCAGAGCTGGCAAGGTGAATATGACTGTGTATTACCCCTGCTACCAGAGCCAGCTAGGTGAATATGACTGTATATTACCCCTGCTACCAGAGCCAGCTTGGTGAATATGACTGTATATTACCCCTGCTACCAGAGCCAGCTAGGTGAATATGACTGTATATTACCCCTGCTACCAGAGCCAGGTTGGTGAATATGACTGTATAGTACACCTGCTACCCAGAGCTGGCTAAGGTGAGGTGAATATGACTGTACTCTTATTACCCCTGCTACCAGATCCAGCTAGGTGAATATGACTGTGTATTACACATGTTTTTTTACCCAGAGCCAGGTTGGTGAATATGACTGTATAGTACACCTGCTACCAGAGCTGGTCCTATAGGTGAATATAACTGTATATTACCCCTGCTACCAGAGCCAGCTAGGTGAATATGACTGTATATTACCCCTGCTACCAGATCCAGCTAGGTGAATATGACTGTGTATTACCCTGCTACCAGAGCCAGCTAGGTGAATATGACTGTGTATTACCTCTTCTACCAGAGCCAGATTGGTGAATATGACTGTATATTTAAGCCCTGCTATGAGATCCAGCTAGGTGAATATGACCGTGTATTACCCATGCTCCCAGGGCCAGCTTGGTGAATATGACTGTATATTACCCCTGCTACCAGATCCAGCTTGGTGAATATGACTGTGTATTACCCTGCTACCAGAGCCAGGTTGGTGAATATGACTGTATATTACACCTGCTACCAGAGCTGGCAAGGTGAACATAACTGTATATTACCCCTGCTACCAGATCCAGCTAGGTGAATATGACTGTTTATTACCCCCGCGTGGTCAGCGTATGGGTAGTTGCATACTAATCCCGTGACGTCCTGCACGAGTGTCGTGTAGGTGCGTTGACCTGTGTCGTCGTGAACGACTTGACCTGAGATTCTAGCGATTTGATTGGATAACCGATGACCTCTCAATTAGGTCACATTCGGACGTAACTATTTTTTCATTCATAACAAACACGTGAATCCATTCATTCTACAACTTAAATGCATTGTAGAATGTAAACATCGTGAGCGTTGCCATGTCGCTGTTTAATTGTGAGCCGAACTGAGACATTATATCCGTCAAAAAAGCATTAAGCGCAATGTTTCCACCAGTGATGTTAGCGAATGAAGCAACTGCAAACCAAGAACGAGGTGCTACTGAGTAGTTTACTGTAGGAGGCTGTGCGAGGTGATGACAGCTGACATGCATCGTGGCGTCGGTTACCAAGGCAGTGGCGTCATTACAGTGGCGTCATGCAAATATTAATACTACAGTACAAAACTCTTCCGCAACCTCTTTATGAAACCCGGTTTGGGTTTGAAACCAAAATATTAACCTTCTGGCTATTTTGTCAGTTTAATGCATGTAAGACGTGGGTAATAAATAAAACCCACACTACCGGTCTCATTACATAGGTGATTATATGAGGCTGTGAGCCTTCCTATGTTATCTAACCCCGGCTACCAGATCCAGCCAGGGGAAGGACACTGTTCATTATAATTCATGATGCAATGAGAATCCAGCTAGGAGAATCTCTATGTATTACACATGCTACCAGATCCAGGTAGGTGAATATGACTGTATTACCCCTGCTACCAGAGCTGGCAAAGGTGAATATGACTGTGTATTACCCCTGCTACCAGATCCAGCTAGGTGAATATGACTGTATATTACCCCTGCTACCAGATCCAGCTAGGTGAATATGACTGTGTATTACCCCTGCTACCAGATCCAGCTAGGTGAATATGACTGTGTATTACCCCTGCTACCAGATCCAGCTAGGTGAATATGACTGTGTATTACCCCTGCTACCAGATCCAGCTAGGTGAATATGACTGTGTATTACCCCTGCTACCAGATCCAGCTAGGTGAATATGACTGTATATTACCCCTGCTAC